ATAGCGAGGCTGCTAGTGCTATTAAATGTATACAATGCGTACCTCGTTTAATAGCGAGGGTGCTATTAAATGACCTTACAAATAGGGATAGTCAATCGTTTATAGATAAGCTGTTACGTGCTTAGTAGAGGGACGCCTTTGCTATCGAGCGTATTAATAAGCTTGTAAGTAGACGGGCGACTCGATCTAGTAAGAGTAACAGTTAGTCGATCGACGATAAGGGTTACTTAAAGTTCAAGGGTAGGTACTATGTCCCCGCTAAACAATCGATTAGATAAGAGCTTTTGAAGAGGCACTATAATAGTGAACTCGCTAGTCACTATAGCATAGAGAGGTCGTACGAGTTACTATCGCGCATATACTACTAGCTAAATAGTAAGCGGCATATAAAGGAGTATATACAGACCTATATAGTATACTAGCGAGTTAAAGCACTAAAGCACTTACTATTTGGCGAGTTGTCTTTACTCCCTATTCCAAAGAAGCCTTTTATAGAGCTTATAATAGACTTCATTATAGGTCTTCCCCCTACTAAGCGAAGGGGAAGTAAAGACGTCTTTAACGCTATACTAGTTATTGTAGACCGATTTACTAAGGGTGCTCGTTACATTCCTGCTCGAAAGGATTAGACTGCTATTAATATAGCTAAAGCCCTATAGAACAACATCTTCTACAGCCATTAGGGGACCCCTAAGGGGATAGTCTCCGATAGGGGCTCGACATTCATATCGCACTATTAGAGCGAATTATGCCTATAGCTAAGACTAAAGCATCGGCTATTAATAGCCTTCTATCTATAGACTGACGGTTAGATAGAGAGGCAAAATGCTACGCTATAGTAGTACCTACGTAGCTATATTAATAAAGACCCTAATAGATAGGTTGACCTTCTATAACTAGCCGAATTCGTATACAACAACAGTGTGCATTTATTAACTAAGGTCTCACCCTATATAGCTATAATAGGCCAGAACGCTGCTATGCTATAAGACCCCCTATCGCTCGAGGCCGAGCGTAAGGAAAGGGAAGCGCGTTAAGTACCCGAAACACTAGCGGCTATTAAGAGGGTTTAGAAGATACGAGAAATCTATACTAAGATAGCCGAGAAGTTGATAAAGGCTTAAGAGTACTAAAAGACCTACTACGACAAGCACTATACGCTAAGGACCTTCAAACAAGGCGACATAGTTATACTAAGCACTAAGAACCTCTGTATCCGCAAGTACCTATTACCTAACGGCAAAACAAGGCCTAAGCTCGCACTAAGATACATTAGTCCATTCCGCATTCGAGAAGTTAAGGGCTCCTCCGTATAGGCCTATTAGTTGTAGCTTCCTCCTTATTATACTATCTATAACACCTTCTATATATCCCTCCTTAAGCTATATTACCTACGCGAGGGGGATAAAGCCCCTACTAAATACGAAGACATACTAGCGGATAGTAAAGAGCTGTAGTCTATAGAACGTATTCTAAAGCACCGGACTAGGTAAGGCAAGAAGGAGTACCTATTAAGATAGCAAGGCTATTTACCTAAATAGGACTTATAGGAAGCTAAAGGTTCCTTTAAGGATATAACTGAGTTGTTAGATAAGTATTGGACTAGTATAAAGAACAAGAAGAAGGCTAAGGGCCTATAATGTCGCCTAGGAACAATGCTACCCCTAGGGTGCTATTAGCTAACCAATTAGAGACAAGCAATTGTTAGCAATAAAGGACAATAAGACTACACTAGGCGCGCTACGACGCGTTAATCAATTAATCGTATGCTCTTTTAAGGGCCCCACCTCTTTACTAATGCGCCCTATAAGGCCCTTCTCCTAGTATTTAAGTCCCCCTCTTGTTCCTTTATTCTGTTAAGACCTAAGGCCTAGGCGGTCGATAGAGGCGGCGCGCGCGCGTAGGCAAATAGTGTTAGTAATGATAATAGTGACGACGGCGTTACGCTTGCGCTAAAGGGCGATACGGCCGGCGCGACTATGTTAGTAACGGTATTGCGGAGTGTGTTGTTAGTCGAAGAAGGAAATTAGAAGAAGGTGAAGTTGGTGCTAAGACGACTAGCGCTGCTATTATCAACATTACTTACTATTGTTACTGCGCCTATAGACACAACCTCACCTATACTACGAGCCTAAGGCACCTTAATCAAACTTTAATCAAAACTTTGAGGTTAAGTTAAAACTTTAAGCCGCCTAAAAGATTGAGCGACTAATAGACTAACTAAGGGCAAAACTATAGAGCTAAGCTAGCCGGGGTCGATCTTGCGGACAATAGGTTACTCCTTAATCTATCTAACCCTTTAAGCGAGGCGAACCTCTACTACTATACTTATAATAGCCTTTACCTATAGAAACTAGACGAGCTGTGTTTTTTAAAAAGATAAGATAAGATTAACACTTAAAGGCTACTAAACCTAGCTAATTAGGGCTAGCGAAACTACGAACAATAAGAATAATAACCCTCGGAAGCGAACAAACCCTCGGAAGCGGACATTGCTAGGTCTTTTAAGAGTAGACGCAAAGAACTCGATACGACATTACTTAGAACGGAGGTAGGGCTACAATACCTCGTACGTCTACCTATTATAGTAGGGAAGACGCGCTCGTATTGTAATTGTTCGAAGGCCTCTAATTCTTATAGATATATATCACTTTATAGTTTATTATATATAGAGATAGCGCAGTTAGAGTTGCATATTGTGTTATTAGAGGTAAGGTTTAATATAGTTATATAATCGGTGGTTGCGTGTTTAATTTAGCGCGGATTAAGCAGCTTATTAGATCTGCTAAGTCAGCAGCGATAGAGATTGGAATAAGACCGGCTACGAGGGCGTAGCCTTTAGAAGGGAAGCGTGTATTAGGGCCAAAGAGGCTATACGTAATTGGCATGTAATTAGGCCGAGTGAAGCTAGGGTCTCAGTGCCTTAGGCAGGGCTTGGCGCTTAGCGTTAGGCTAACTCTCCTGCCTTCCTCCCTCTCCTCCTAGATCCTTATCGAATACTACCTATACCTACTACTACCCTATCTACCTACTAACATACCCTTCTTACACTATTCTATTAATTCCTCGAGGAGGACTTTTAGGGCGTTGTTTGCTAACCGAATATCTATATATCTTAGGTCGTAGCAATGTAGGTCGTTACTAATCGCTAAAGGGTCGCTTCTATAGCGGCGGATACTAATTTCGTATAGATTAGTCGCTCTACTCTAATAATGCGATATAACGACTACTATAGCGTTATACGGCTCTTTATTATATTCCGCCTTGCGAATGCCCTCTCCTAGCAACCTATTCCGCTACTAATCGCGCCTATAACGATAATACTAGTGCGACCGCTGCTCTAACCGATCCTTCGTTCTTAGCGACTTTAACTCCTTATATACGTTACTTATATAGCCCTTTAGCACCTCGAAGCGCTTAGGCTCGAACGTTAATCTATACGAAGGGATATTAAATAGTTACTCTTAGAGGTCGATAATATCGTATAGTATACGGTCTAGCCTAAATAGCGGCACTAGTTTAGTTAATATAGGCGGCATAGTAACAATAGTAAACTAATTGTGCTATTTAAACTATTAGAAAGAGCTTAATCTACTATATATAAGAAATAGCGATAGAGATAAGGTTAGAATCGGAGGTATAACCGAGAAGGTTAACCTAGTACTAGAATAGGAAAAGCACCGTCGATTACTAGGCGAACTATACTAAGTTAGTAGATAACGCCCTCCGGAAGTAAACCACTGTTGCAAACAGTAGTACGCTAAATTTCCTAACATACAAGAATTGCTCGCGAAGATCCTAGCTTCGGCTGTGCGGTATTCTATATGTAATGTACATGGAGAAAACTTATTACGTGGATTGTCAAGGGAAGGGAAGGGAAGATGTGGCGCAGCGGAAAGTCTTTTGATGCTGGTACCGATGTTGCGAGGCTTGACTCATCAGCTATGTGAGTGCTCGGCGTTGATGGGCTGACAAGGCGGTTTTCCGTCGTGCAAGTGGTCGGAGTTCGCGATGGTGGAGATGGCAGAGCTTGGGCGGTCTGCATGATAGAATACTAGACAGGCGAGATTTGTACCAGACAGGCCGCTCAGCCTGGCAGTCTTTCTGCTGACGGTCCCGGGGCCCTGCCGTCTCGCTCCAAGTGAGAATGATAATCACAGAGAAATCTGCGAATCATTACGAGTGAAGTTCCTCAGAGGGAAATATCGAAACGTCCTCTGATCGCGCTGGCAATCGTGCTGCGGGTGTGGGTGGATGCGTGGATGCGTGGAGGGCGACAGACGGCCTTGAATTAATGGTGTTGAGATTGATGGGGTCCTGCAAGACTGCAAGTCTGTGACAGTTTCGAGCACATGTGAGAATTGAATGAGCTCTTGCTGAATGACAGCGGACAATTCACTGCAGGTTCTGGACCAATTGGCCAACATTGCACCAAAGCCAAAAAGTTCATCACTCACATGACACAGCATGCAGATTAGCCGTTGCGCAGGGCAAAGGTCTGGAATCAATTTGATCTATCTTATCATGGTGCTGTCTCGCTGTAAGCCGGAAGCTCTTCCATCTGCTCAAACTCTTGCATCGAAATCTCATAGCCCAAATGCCGCTTCAAAAGCTCATGCGTAACAAATCGTTCAGGGCAGTTTCCCTGCGCATCGACAAAGCTGACATGATGATTGACATCACTGATTCTTTGCAGCTCATTCGCATGTCGATGATGATGTGGACATCCATCCACTCCAATCAAGAAGATTGTAACATGCGCCCACGAAATCCCGAGCAGATCCAACTCGAATTCATCCATATCTGTCGCCTCGCCATCAAGGAGCAGCAGTAGCCTAAGCATGGGAGTCTCAGGTCCAGCTTGCCAACCAAAGACAGGATGATGAGTTGCCGATTCGGAATGCTTCTGGAAATGAAGCTCTTTGGCTTTCTGCCATCCTGTCATCACCCGTGTGCCGCCACCCAGACCGACGTTCCTCCACGTTGTGTCAAAATTGCGGTGGTTGATAGTGCCGACGTACTTCGCGCTGTTCGCAAACGTCACAAGATCATAGCCCTGGAACTGATGGTCGTGGTTCTCCATTGCGTCCGTGAAGCGACGGATGATGGCCTTTGCTACATCCTTGTTCCTCGGCTGAGTCGAGCGCTCCCAACCTGTTACCAGGTATTGGTTGTAGACTGGTCGTACAGGGTCGAAGTCCATCGATCCCGACACATCGAGCAAAATCATGGTATCATCGGTCGCTGTTTCGGGTCGGTCGTAGGCACGGAACGGAGACGGCATGACCTGCTTCGAGTATCCAGCAGACGTGTGCTGCACATGACACTGATCAGTGGCAGAATAGTAGTCTGGAGGTGGTTCAACTGCCTTCGCCATCCTGTCTCGCGCCATGTTCATTTCTGAAATTTGGTCAGGTTTCATTCTCATTCCGACGCTCCCTTCGCGATGGTTGAGCACCCAATACAAACGCTCCTCAGCGGTGTCTTCGTACCCTCGCCACGCTGGTGTGATGCCTCGCCACCCTGCTGCAGCTTCTATGCTGAACTTGAGAGGATTCGATGCTTGGTTGGCCCACGCGACCGGAATAGGTTCGAAATAGCCCGCGCGAAGGAGATGCAAGTATTGAAGTGGACAATGTGCTCTGAGATTGGCAACCTTTGATGCCATTCCGATGTGTTGCTGATAGGACTCGACTAGCCATCTAGTCTGATCGTCTTGCCATCGTCCTGCCTCCTCTGCCAGGATAGCCTCACGGAGCTCGTTGCCTTTGCCAACGGCTTTGGCAACTTTGCTAACCGCACGCTCCTCGGAAGTTTTAAAGCCTATTGATTTCCGGAAGGATGCCAATTTTGAGGTCTCTGCTTGTCTCGGAGTATTGCTTGAACTTGCAATACTGTTCCGTTTCTGATCTGAGAGCTTCATCGTGTCCATAGCTCTGACAAAGGAATCGTCCGCACTCTCCCAAATGGAATGCTTTGGCTCGTTATCGTCGACATTTTTCTGGGCCTCTCTGTTCAGCGAATTGTTTAGGTCAATGGTCTGGTGAACAAATCGAGCATGATAGCGTGGATCTGGCCTTGAAAAGCCCCATGGATTCATGTTGTAGTAGCCGTAGGGCGAAGTGATCCTCCACATGTAGAGGTTCCCACTGAAAAGCATTGACCGCCCGTTGTAATTGTTGTCATCGTAAGCCTTCTCGCCGGGGTACATAACGGCTTTCGACCACTGTTTCTGAACACCATAGCGTTGGTACTTGAGACGCTTGTAGTAATGGATTGGACAACTGCAAGGATAATCGGTATCGTGCTCCGGCTCAATCTCGCTGTTGTATATGTTGTACTGATATTGAAGGTTCTGGAGTGCTTGTTGCATTTCCTGTTCGTCCCGAGCTCGCAACCTGGCTGCATCAATGACAATGTTCAAATGTTGTCGATGCGAAGGTCCTGAGGAGTAAGCGGGTGGTGCAATGTCCTTTGCCTTGACATCTCCGCCCTTTTCAGCATGCCCACTACTAACGCTTCGACTGGAGCGCCCCGGATTGGATTGATCCAGAGTGTCGGCCGCTTTGCTCGTCACTGTATTGGCTGTCCCTGCTCGTCTTTCGTTGAATGAGACAGCAAACCGCTTCGAATCATCTGTATCGCCAAGCAGATTCACGAGATGAGAAGCAGCTGCTGGGTCAGAAAGGGTGTTAGTATATTCTATGATTTGCTTCAACTCATCATCATCCAAGGTCAGCAGCGCTTTAAGCTCAGGCACAGCCCAGGCCTGGAGTGCTTGATCCGAACTCATGCTTGAGCATGCTCAGCCCCAAGCGACTTGAGGGGCGGCTCTCTATATAATGACAGATACTTGAGCGATTTGCGGGACTTCTGCAAATGATCAGGCATAGCAGGTGGTATGGAGTGTGGCAATGCTACATGTATGTGCCGTGAAGCCGCGAGTCCCGTGGCCATGCCCGCGTCATCAGCCCTGCTGAATCTGGAAGATCGAAACTCAAACAGAGGGGACAAGCTTTGCGTGGCACGTGAACAAATGAATGTACATGTCTGCAGGTGAGCTGCTGAGAAAGTTTTCGCAACAAATCCTTGTTTATGGCGTGCAAAATGCGAACTTGAGCGGCTCTCGGGTTCTCGCCTCTCTGAACCGCTCGGACTCCAGTGATTCAACTTCCAGAATCTAGAAGAATTTTCCGTCGACGTGAACATCGCTCTTCGGTCTGTAGACGATTCCTGCTGCATGCCCAGAACCATCAACGCTTCGCGATTCTTCTGGCTCAAATGCAGCATCGGGGGCTTCAGGTCGATCGAAAGCTGTGAAACGATGACCTCGGGACTTGGCTATAGCCCATTGCAGCCAAATCCTGCCAAGAAACGCAGCAAGGGAGAACAAAAGCCCTCCGATTGGAGCTGCAACAAAGGCCCCGAAGGCAGACCAGTCTTCGGCATATAAGCCCTCGGTCAGAATGAGGAGATTGCCTGCTCTTGATGCGTCGCCGTTGTAGTAGACTAGGCCGAAGAGGAACACAGAAAGAATCCCACCAATGCCGCCAACAACAACTTCAAAGCCACGCCAGAAATATGCTTTCGAGCTCAACCCGATGAGTAGGCTGGGGATCAAAGACGCACTGATAATGTCCGAGACTAGGTAGATCTGCAGCACAGAAGGACTTCTGAGCGCTACGACAACCGTTGGGATGATGAGGACCACCACGATGAGTCGAATCCACCAGATGTTGAGCTTGTTGCGGAAGAAGTCGTTGGAGCCGGTCGAAATGAGTGCTGACTGCAGAGAGTCAAACGCCGAAATCGAGAGCGTAACGACCATGACCAAGATACTGCGAACAACATTAGCTCTAGTGAGACAGGAGCGCCATGGATTGGTAGAACCCACATGCCGACCACCCATGCAGGCAGTGTCTTCAGGAGGGTGAACAGCTCAATGCCAGTGGCTACAGGAGGCACTCCAAGCACACCACTCCAGCCAGCAATGAGGCCCGAAACACCCACCAGCGTAGTAATAAGCGCGACAGCAACAGCAGCTATGCTGACGCCGATGTATAGGTCTTTGTCCGTCTTAGCCGCAAATGCACGCAGCCAGAAACCAGACAAGAAGAAATCGTTGGTCAAGATAGCCACGGGCAGAATGTACAGCAGTTGCCAGCCCAATAGGTTGGCTTCCAAGTAGCCAGAGACTGGGATGAGTGAGGTGTCAATGTCGACAGTCACTGCTATCGTAATGACGCCCACAATCAGGAAAAGCAGTACCATCGCGCCCTGGATGTTGTCTGTGACGAATGAAACGCGGAAGCCCCCAGCAGCTGTGTAAATGGTGGTGACTGCACATTGTACGATGACTGCAGGCAGGCCATTCATGCCTGTAAGCAGTTTGATAACTTGCTGAAGGGCGGAAAGTTCTGCAACCATGTAAAGCCAGATGGTAGCACAGCTATGACATATCAGCGAGAAAGTTCATCATCAATGCCGCTAAAGACAAACCTGAAAAAGCTAAGGTATAGGGACGTGATCGTTCCATATCGTTGTCGGGTCCATTGTGTCAACACAAATCCGTCCGGGCACTTTCTCCTGATGATAGGTCCCAGAGCCGCAAAGATAAGCAATGGCAGACCTGAAGACAGTGCATACACTAAAAGACCATGCAGTCCGGCAAGCGCAGCAATGTTAGGATACGTGAACAATATGCCCGAGCCCAAGGCTATGCTGTTGTCAGCTCTGCGAATATATGAAGGGGAAGAGGGAGCAGAAGCGGCAGCACTTTCTCACGCAAGCATTATCTTGATCGAGTCATAGCGGTCCTTCTCAGCTTCGTGCAACAGTCTGTCAAGCCTCTGCTTTGCAGAAGTTGCAGAGCTTTGCACTCGGCGCCCGCAGTGCTGCACATCACTCTCTCGACGACAGATCCAACGACCATGGTCGAGAGAGCGATGTCATGAAATGCATGCGTACGAACCTTAGTATTGCTTGGAATCTCTTCATGGGCGCTTTCACAGTTCCTGTCGTCTGCCGCTGCTATGGATGATGCTTGATGCATCAAGCCCGAACTCACCAGATGCTATGAAGTTCAAGGCGAGTGGAAAGGCTAGATGCAATTAGCACGAGCATTCAAGTGGTTCCTCCGATGCGGTTTTGATCGTGGCTGTTTCATGTATACCCTTTTGTGTCCTGTTTGCCGAGAGCCATTCTCCTGCAGATTGGCCTCGCAACCTCCATGCTATAAAGAGGCCGAAAACACTGAGGCGAAAAGTCAGTGGCAATTGGCGGGAACGAAGCCTTCGCTTTCGGAATTTTCTCACAGAAATGCCACATAGGAGCAATAGATCAAGGCATTCGATGCCGGATGCGAAGGTTGTCCCATACTGTCGGTGCGCAAGTATCCACCACACTCGCGTTGTGCAAGGGTGGAGCGTGCAGGAATCCGAAAAGTGAAGCGGAGATCTTTCAAGATAAACTTCTCCGCCAAGGGTCTACTGTGGAACCCTTCCAACTTGTCAGTACGGTCCGCAGAGCCGCCTCCTCTCTTGAGCCGTATAGGGGTAGGCAATAGGGGCACTTTTACGTAGTTTTTATCGTGTTTCTTCCTAACTGTCGTCGTCGAATAGAGGATAATCGTGTATTCGAGCCCCGTACGCGTATTCTAACTATTTCCGAGTACTATACTATAATAATGCCGCTAAAAGAGATACGTACGACTACTAGTAAGCCGCTAGTGCGATTAGACGACGAGATAAATAACTCTACGCTAAAGAAGAAGGTAATCCGCACTCTCGAGAAGACTATTAGTCCGCCGCTAATAAGAAAGAATGCTAATACGGCTTAGTAGGTAAAGGGTAGCTTAAAGTCGAAGAGTAGGTCTTCCGCCGGTAAGAAGAGCAAAGCGACTACCGACCTAATCGTTAATCTACTAAGCAAGGAGACCGTAGCGGCGCCGGCAGAGGAGACTAGCGGTATAGAACTACTAAAATCGGCTGTTTCTTCCTCCGCTTCGACCTTTATATCCTTCTTTTTTAATACTATATAGAAGGCAGCTGCTACTACTAGTAGCTAAGCCGCTCTTGCTATAGGTAACGTTCCTATTACTTAACCTAGCTCTTTCTCGGACGAGACCTTCTATTATAAAGGATAGTAGATACTATTTAATATAACGAAGAAGGGCGCGGTACGGACGATAGTAACGAAGCTAGTAAAGTTCTTATCGGCGAACAAATAAGAGGCTTAGAACGTACATTCGTAGGCAGCGAAGATAGCGAAGTTAAACGGCTTAGCGGCAATTAATCGTATTATTATCTATACTAGAGCGGACGGTTAGAAGACGGCTTTTACTAGCAATTAGTATTAAGCTAGAGATAATATTAATAGCGATAAGGTCTATAGCGAAGCGATAGAGACTAGTAAGGAATTAGCGCTTACCTTGCGGAAGAATGTCTTTATTAATATCGACTTCTTGTCGAAGCCTAAAGCGATAGTAGTAGCTATACCTTTAGGCGCTAAGAAGTTAGTTAAACCGGCTTCTAATCTAACCTCAATTTAGCTTGCTAACGCTAGCGTTATAATAGCTAAATTAGAGGCTTAGAAGCGGTAGGACTATTATATTATTAGAGACTTCTTATATAGTTATAAAGACTGTCTAAATTATTATAAGGCTAGTAAGTATACCTACTTCCGCGATAAGGCCTTAAAGGACTATAGTAAGAACTACTTTCCGTTTTACGAAGCCGCTATAATTAAGGCTTATAAAGCTATCTCTTCCGGCGAGTAGAAGCGTAACGAGGTAACTAATAAGCTAGATAATAGGATACTAGTAAGGATCGAGGTAATAGTAATTAAGAGGAAGATTGAGTTGTAGTTCTAGAAAGGCGAGGTTAAGAAGATAAGGGCTCGGCATAGCAGTAAGAGCGACTCGCCTCGTAAACTAGCTATCAGTATCGGCTCTTAACCTATTATCCTTAATTCCTTCGGCGACGAGATAAGGCACTTCTTAGATAGCAAGCTACGTAGATCTAGTATAATTCCTAGTACTCCGTATAAAACACCTGCTCGCGCTCTTACTAGAACTAGTTTACGTAACCCTCCGGCGATGCCTCGCAATATTATATAGTCCTCGAAGCTAACTGTCGAATTCTTCTAGTAGGTCGGCTTATAGCGCGGATTTTAGGATTGCGACGAATTACGCCCGTATATCGCTTATTTCGTATCTTCCGAATAGACGCTAGAGACTATCTGCAATTTAATAAAGGACGACTAGCCGGCGGCACTTAATATAGTAGATAGAATAAGGTTAAGGTTAAAGAAAGCTATCGTCGAGTTTATAAGGAAGAAATAGGATAAGATTATAGCGGCGGAAGTAGCCGCTACTAAGGAGGGAGAGAATTTCTAAGAATTCTTAGCTTCGTTTAGGCTGCAATCGCTATATATCTATAATATATATAAACTTGTAATAAGCAGGAGATTCTTGCGGTAATAGCACTTATTTTAGCCTATATATAATTAATTAATATAATGCGTTAGTTATAGAATACTAAGCGCGATAGGTAAAGCTAGCGTTCGAATACATTTATTTAAATCTCTCCGAGCGGCGCTTGCCGCGCGCTAGTACGATTAGTTACATTACTCGAAATCTTCGAAGTCTACCTCTTATTCGCTATCTTCCTCGTTGTCTTCCTTAAATACGCCCTTACTATTATAATATACTATCGACGAGTCGTTAATTATCGACGGTAAGGTATTCTAAGCCTATTCTATCTATTAGGACTCTTCCGGGTCGAGCGCTATTATGTTCTAAGCCGCTCTAGCGGTATATTCGAATTCGGCTAGATCGTACGGAATATCGACTCTATCGATATTATATCTAGTATAAGCGAACAACCTACGCGCCCTATTGCCCCTATACTTATACAAATACTATAGCAAGTAATCCTAAAAGCCTATAAACTTCGGTAGCTTATCTCTGTAATTTTTAATAACCTTCTTTAGCAGATTGAAGCTACCCTCGATCGGGTTTAGATCCGGCGAATATAGCGGTAGAAATTCGAGGTAATAGCCGGCATCTAGTATCGCCTGTTTAACCCTCGCTCTATAGTAGATACTAGCATTATCTATAACAAAGATTATCGGCGGACTATCCTTAAGGCAAGGTAAGACTTGTTTAGTTAGCTAGAGGTAGAAACGATTACTATTAATCGATCCTTAGTAAATACGAGTATAGGGTAAGTAGCCGTATAGCGTAAAGGCTAGCAATACTAACTATCTAACTTCTCGCTTCGCATACTATATATCTATATAGTTTAACCCCTTCGGAGACTATCTATACTTACGCTAACTAGTCTTCTAATTACTAGTAGTCTCGTCGATAAACACTAATCGATCTACCGGCTATTTTGCGTACCTAATCGTCTACAAAGCCCTTAAGAACAGGTTGCGTTCCTTCGCTTCGCGCCTTACCTCTTTGCAAGTTAAACCTAGCTTCTTCTTTAATACCCTCGTTAGCAACCGCGGCTTAATTACTATACTATTACTACTCTCTAAGATAGGCCTTAATCGTATAAACTCGTCTTAAAGAGCTTAGATTATTTCTAAGAAGTATGCGTCCGGACGGTCTATAAGAAAGCTACGTAGGAAGTCTATTTCTTTAGCTAGTATTATCGTATAGTATGCGTTACGAGAAGTGCTAGTTTAAGGTATATATAACTTACTAAATAGTCGCTACTTAGCTTAATAACGATAGACTGTCCGTACGGACAATAGCAACTTCGAGAATGCTAGGACCTACTTAGGAGTTATACCTTTACTAAAGAGATTGACTAATTAGCCTTACTAGTCGAGATTAATACGTGCCTTCTTAACTATAGCGGCAACAACGATTAGTAATACCTTAGAAGGGTCTATACTACTAGAAAACCGTCGACACGATATCTACGATATATTAGAGGACTAGAGGCATTAGAGGGAGAACAAATAATTCAAAAACTACTAAAATGGCGGTGTGGTTCCTCTCTCGGAGGTATAGGGTTCTCCCCGCACCGGTACTAACAAGTTAGAAGGGTTACACAGTATCCGGGGTTTCGTTAGTTACTTTACGCCCCTCGAGACTAAACCGAGCCCTAGCTACCCGCCCGAGCCCTAGCATGACCCGAGATTACGAGATCGGCTGTTCTATACAAAATCGCGTATAGAAGCGGATAATCGCGTCGCTATAGCCCCTCCGACCGGGCAACTACTACTATACTACTACTAGCAGCTATAAAGCTAAAGTTTGTTAGCAAATTAGTAGTATAGCAAAATTTAAGGTGTTATTAGTTGTTAGCTATCTACTTAGGTCTAAGCGGATTGCGACCTGCCGCCTTATAACTACGCGAAGCTATATATACTAGCTTATATTAGTCTCCTAGTTGCTAACTAGCCTACTACTATATATAATACTACTACTAAGTAAACTAATAGTGCTATTGCTACAGCACCTAGTAATGAAGTAGCCGCCCTATTAGCTATATAAGCGACTATTGTTGTTAGTGCTAGTATTGTTACTAAGCAGCCTATCGTTATTGTTGCTTATATAATGCCGCCTACTAGCGGCTACTATTAGCTTATTGCCTCGCTCGCTCTTCTTCCGCCTATAGACGTTAGTTCTTACGTACTCGTAGGTCTTTAATCTCTCGGCGAAGTAGATCTAGCTTAGAAGGTAGCTCCGGAGCGACTAGAAGTAATAATAAAGGCTTAACTCGTAGATTATAATACTTAAAGCCGGCTAGATAGCAAGCGGAGCTATACGGTCGATTAGCCTTCTAGCAAGGGCATTATTAAGTACGGTATTAGCTCTTTACGCACTTATAGTAGTTAGCAACCGTAGTACGAAGTTATATAAGAGATACGCCTAGTTCTAAGGCAAAGTCGACTATTCTAGCCGTTAGAGTCTTCCGCTTCTTAATTACTATAACCTTATTTAAGTCGTCTAATTCTCGAGCCGTTGCTACACGCTTTATAGTATACAATGTCGCTCCGCTAGTAAGAGGTTTGCGGTTGCTATAGATTACTTCCGGTTCTCGTAGATTATACGTTCTACGGAAGTCAATTAACTAGTACTTATAGAAGTAGCTCGGTAATAGCATAGCGCGGCTTCTACCTATTTCGAGAAGCTTTATAATATCGTGTTTATAAGGATAACTATGCGTCTTACGAAGGTAGTCGTTATAGCGGCATTATAAGTAGGGGTACGAGTACGCCGAGTGCTTAATCTCGTTGCCGTTATCGTTAGTTATAGTCCGCAGAAGGTCGTTAGTACGTTAGTATAGATCCTTAACCTCGAGAAGGTAGTAATCGCTTATAACTCGAGAAACGCTCGCCTAAAATAGTCTAGTAAGT